CCGACAATCGCTGGATATGCACTCCTCCTGCTACCACCCTGACATAGCAATGTTGAATGAGAACCTAACCCATTACCTTCCCTATCTCTCGGTATCTCTCTTTTGCAGACAACTGGCTTTGGTGGCCTGCCAGACGTCACCGAACACTCGAATATACGCCGCACTCTATCCCGCCAGAACTCGATCTCCAACAGCGACTCTGGCGGAGAGATAGCCAGCATACAGAAGTCCAAGGTGAACTTCGGCAGCGGTCTGGCGGGCGGCGTTGTGGTCGGCGGCGACATCGTCTGCCTGGACGCCAAGTCGCCCACGTCACTGAGCTCCTCGGCAGGAGCTGCCGGCTCCGGCAAGGCCAAGGGCAAGGCCGCCCGCAAGGCCAGCGCTGCAGCGGACACGGCACACAAGGGACGTCGCGGCTCGTGGCTGGTGGCCCTCACTCTGGTCAGTGCCATCTGTCTGCTGGCCATTGCAGCCACGCTCGCCTACCAGCACTTCTTCACGGCGCCCAGCCGCAACTCGCACGCCCAAAGACTGAGGATCGTTCGCCGCATCCTGCGCGAGGTGCCGCTCGTCGATGGCCACAACAACTATGCCTGGAATGTGCGCAAGTACGCGCACAGCAGCCTGGAGCTTCACCTCAGCCACGACCTCGATCACAAGTCCCTGTGGGCGCGCCCAGCCTGGGCACAGACCGACATGGAGCGGCTCAAGCAGGGTCTCGTCAGCGTACAAGTTTGGTGAGTAAAAAGGTCTAAGATCAATATGTTATGGTAGTTTATAAGGGCAACAACAGGGCTTAAAATCTCTGCACAAACATTGCCATTAAGCGAAGTGTTTTCCCATTAATTTGGACTCACAATATGCCGTGATTTAAATCAAGTTGTTCACACACAAGAAATGGCAGCTCAATGGGGCGGGCACGTAATGGAAATGAAGCTACCAGCCAAATCATGAAAATTGAAAAGTCACATAAAACGGCAATCAAGTCGATGCGATGGCGGCCTCCGGCAATTGCCCGGGGGCCACAGAGATCTGACCCGTGCACATGGAGCACAAAACATCGTTGCATACAACTGGCTGGCACGCCCCCAAAACAACAGCCGCCTCCACTCCCGAACACCGAACGCCGCTCCCTGCGCGGCAATAAAAAGCTGCCAACAATTTGACTGCAAAATAAAATTTGGCAGCCGGCACTGTGGCTCGGGGGCAAGCAGCCAACCTGTCTGCCCCGCCCTCCCAGTACTTGGCCCTGACTCTGGCTGTGGGCCTGCCTGTGGGCCTGGCTTGGTACTCGTTTTGGCCAGACTTCTTGCAGGCCAAAACGATTTGACAGGCGGCAGACAGCTGCAGCTGGGGAAAAAACGCTGATGGGCAATCGACTTGAGTTCATTTCGAGGAAGAGCTTCAGCACACCCAACGTGCCACCGTGCCACCCAGCCATCTGTCCGGGCAGCCACATGCCCCAGACCAACAGATGGCGCAAGCGTAACTTTTCGCCAATTTGGCTTCTCATTTGCCGAAATGTTGGAGCTGTTTGTATGCAGCTCGAATGCAGCTGAGCCATTAACCTTTGAACTTGCCAATTAAATAGTTTTCGGTACGCAGATAATGCCATCGAAAATGTGAGGCAAAATCCAGCGATAGAAAGGAACTCCCTGACTCTCCATCTTGTAAGAAAAATAGCCCAAATATTTAATCCCTTAAGAGTTGGACTTTGGGGGAAAAGCTTTGCTGTCGGCACTTTAACCCCCAGATCAAACACACACACAGTGGCCTACAAAAGTCAGCTAACCTTTCCACTTTTTTCGTCACTTGCAGGTCGGCGTACGTGCCGTGCGAGGCACAGGGCTTGGACGCCGTCCAGCTGGCACTGGAGCAAATCGACATCGTGCGGCGCCTCTCGGACATGTACGCACGGGAGACAGTGCTGGCGACATCCTCGCAGGACATTGTGGAGGCACACCGCCGCGGCCTGCTGGCCTCGCTGATCGGCGTGGAGGGGGGACACACGATTGGCTCCTCGCTGGGAGTGCTGCGCTCCTTCTACTCACTGGGCGCACGCTACCTGAGCCTCACGCATCGCTGCGACGTGTCCTGGGCCGGGTCCAGTTCCTCGCCCATGGAGCAGGGCCTCACGCCCTTTGGCAAGGCAATCGTGCGCGAAATGAACCGCCTGGGCATGATGATCGACCTCTCGCACAGCTCGGATGCCACGGCCAGGGACGTGCTGCAGGTGACACGGGCGCCCGTCATCTTCTCGCACTCGGCCGCCCGCCAGCTCTGCAACTCGACGCGCAACGTGCCCGACGATATCCTGCGCCTGGTGGCCGAGAACGGTGGCCTCATCATGCTCAGCTTCGACTCGGAGGACGTGGCCTGCGGCCGCCAGGCTCGCCTGCAGGACGTCATCGAACACATCAAATATGTGCGAGCCATTGCCGGCATACAGCACATCGGCCTGGGGGCCGGCTACGATGGCATTGAGCTGCCGCCACTGGGGCTGGAGGATGTCTCCAAGTACCCGGAACTGCTGGCCGCCCTGCTCGAGGATCACAACTGGAGCGAGGAGGATGTGGCCATGCTGGCCGGCCGCAACTTTCTACGCATCATGGAGACCGTGGAGACAGTGCGCGACTACTGGAAGCGGGCCGCCATCCAGCCCATCGAGCAGACAGAGCCCCAGCCCAAGACGCAGTGCACGTACATGTCGTCGTGACCGCAGGCACAGGCGCGGGCGGCACGTACGCGACGCGACGATCCGCCATCGGATCGGGAAAATCGCACCTCGGCAACGCTGTCGGGAATCCAATTCTGGCGGCAGGCAGAAGCCCCATCGAATCGCTCAGAGGCCACGGCCACGGATCGTGTGATCCTGGCGGCCACGGCGACCACCTTCACAGTCAGCGAACTGCTCCAGTGAGCTACAGCAGAATGCAGAAGCAAAGCAGAATGAACAGATTGGAAAGGTTATTGCTTGACTGCTCTGCCAGGTGCTCGCGTGATGAGGCAGAGTCGAGGCATGACCATGCGTGTCGCAATTCTCTCGATTGTGGAACTGTCGTGACAGCCCTCGTGCATAATTTAGTGTGTACTCGTAATTTACTTCCCTAGGACGCATTGATAGGCATATGAATAAATAATTATAATAAATGTACTAGTATTTAACCCATGATTGTTTGCAGCTCTTCTTATTGGTGTTGTTGCTCTGCATAATTCATGCACGGCCGGCCGGATACTTATTGATGTTGCTCGGCCACAAAATTCTTTGTAGGCTTGTCTGTGACTATGTTCTATGAGTGTAGATGTAGTTACGTAGGTACATGTGTGCTCGTATCAGCATCAATGATTCATGCTAATTATTGCAATTAAGCGCAAATATATTTAATCACCAATATCGAACGGACAGAGCGCAAGAATTAACTATAAATCACGATTCAATTGCAACAGTTCCAAAGCAACCCACACTTAGAGTAAAGCCCTCCCAGCCAGGGGGGCATTCCGGATCGCATTGAACTAATTATTCTATATCTCTGTGTTAAGTTAGCATAAAGCCAAAGGAAAAATCAAAACAAACACAATGTCCTGCACGTTGGCACACATATTCGGATACGCATAACACACACTATAATATACAAACATATATATACAGAATTAAATATAACTATAACTATAAATATAAAGCAATGCGAATTATCGAATAGAGAGACACGACACGCATTTCCATAAAAATAAATCGAAAACAAAACCATCGAATGCTGTCTTTCATGTTTGGGGGATATTGTGGGATTCCCGGTTCCCGGTTGTTTGCCGCTGCCAACCAAATAAATAAATTCAAATCAAGGAAGCGACATTTTGCATTCAAAACATAGACAACTTTAGAGTCTTTTCCATGCATTAGTTGAAGGCGAAAATCGATTGTTTATTTAGTGTAGGAATATATGTAGACGACTATGCAGCATCAGTGTGTACATATGTATGAAGAAGCAAATCAAATCGCAGAGTATTCTGTTGCCCGTGGCCATAAAATACGTTAAGTGGTCGTAAATCAAAACTCTGCAGGAATGGGAAAGTTCACAAAGTTTTTCTCTTGCTTCATTCCGTTGAACTCCTTCTGCCCCCCTAGAATGTAAGTAGTCTAAGTGAGGACGGAAACCGGTGCGTGGGTCTTCTTTCCCACTGATAGACAGATTCTTCATGAAGTCCACTGAGTTTTGCTTGAATTTTAATGAAACTAAACTATAACAAAATTCATAAATGGATCTGTCCAATCCCCCTGCAATCACGGCCGACTAAACTTCCGAGAAATTTAAATGAAAAACAAATATTTATAGCACCATATCGCAGGATAGATTGGTTCAATTTGGCGTGAATGTCCAGGTTTCGGGTCTTGCGGACATCATCATAACTTAGTTTATGGCTACATTTGCCATTAAATGTAATTACCCATTTTCAGGGACACCTAAATGTTAACGCAAGCGACAATGTACCCCAGGAAAGGACAGCGAAGAGTGGAATGCGGACAGCGGACAGCGGACAGCGACCCTCCCAAGGCAAAAATTAAGAACTGGCCGTTAACGAGACGGCCGCCATGCCATCGCATTCTCATTAACACGCCAGTCCGGTTTCAATTTCCTGTTTAATTTCTCTTTTCATTATAAATGGCTCTCCGTGTGGCAAACAACCACAGTGCTTCTTGCTCCCGGACTCCGAAGCCGACTCCAGCCCCAACTGGGAAAAGTCATAAACAATGCTCCCTGGCAACTGCGACGAGTTGATGGACAAAATAATGCCTGATGACATTTATAATGAGCAGAATGCTGTTGCTCCTCAACTTCGCTGTTCCTCTGTGTGTTTGTGTTTGTGTGTGTGTGTATACTCGTATACTGTTGATAAGTTGAAGCTCGCTTCATGTGGCCGAAATTCGCGCATCATAAATCAGTGCACTCCAGTTGCTCCACCACTGTTGGCAGTCTCCACTTCAATCCAGAAAATATGAGAAGTGTCTTTAAAACAGCTTTAAATTTATTCAAAATGCATTTTCAAAACTCGACTTTAAATCCAGACATTCCAAGTCACTCTTCGTCGTCGCTTTACGAAGTTAAGTAGAGTTTTTCGAACTTTTCTTTAATATCCAACAAAGATGATTTGCCAACTACTGTGTAGAACTGGGTTTTGTTCATATTTTTATAATTTATATATCCCAAAAGCGTGCGGACATATTTTGAATGTATCGCTTTAACTTTCATTTCTTGTTGGTTGCCTACGTCGAGCTCGACTGCTTTGGTGGCAGTGTCGCCCACAGGTTTCACCTCGCACAGTTCCTTGCGAATTCCTTCGCCGACTTTTTTCACGTCTTCTATCTCCAAAACACCAGAGGCTTCCTTATTATCTGCTTCAGCATCTACAGAGTAATCGGACGTTTCGGCAACGTGCAACCCATTTACCTTAACGTAGGCCTGAATCATTTTGAACCGTTCGACCTCTTCAATACAGCCATCGGCGATAATGAGGTACTGCTCAAAGACGTCGGATGTGAGCATAAGAGCTTCGTAGCAATTCATGCGTTGTTTATATGTTTTAAGGTACTGAAATGGAATATGAATTAGGACCAGTCTACATTTCAGCCTATGGATCGCTCACCGCCTTGGCCACATTGATCAACGATTCGTTGTCTACATTGTGCGCACCCTGAAATAGGTCGAGCAGATCGCCAATCGTCATCGCTTTGGCTCGCTCCGTGAGAATCTTAACGCAATCTGATTGAAGTGAGGCTACCAGCCACTTGGTTCCAACCACCAAAAGGTCCATTAGTACTGTGCTGTTGTACTTCTTCAAGTTCTCAGAGTTGTACGTGTAGATATACTCCAGGAAATATTTGAACGTTTTCGGCATTACATCGTTCACAATAAATTGGCCACACTTGGACTCCTTGAAATCCCCAAGGAACATGCGCTCAAAGAACTCGGATGCACTTGCTAGGATCACTTTGTGGCAATCAAACGTTTCAGGCTCCACAACGATGAGGCAATCAGCAAACTTTTTGTTTTCCAGCAGATCGGTAAACACTGGTTGCAACCTAAAACACGAAGAGTCGATTTTTAAAATGTTAATCAAACACGTGGTAATCGATATACATAATGTATGGTTTTATGTACAATATGTATTTATTTATTTGGGTACATAACTCACCAAGTATCCATCGTATATTATTGCTGGTGCGCGCAATGTGAAGTGGAAGAGTGTAATCTGAAGAAGTGGCTGGAAGGGTAGAAAAATTTGTTGTCCGGTATTGGTATGTACATACATATTCTTGCTTTCTTATGTACAAATGTGTGTGTACCTAACAACTAATAATAAAAGTATTCTTCTTGCTAAGAATTCAACTACGCTACACAGAGCTTTCTTTGTTGGTAATGATAACACGCAGACCACCACACAGCACTACGTTTCAGAACCAGCAAATGTTAAAAACCTCCACCCATGGTGACATTACTAACAAAATTTACAAACCTCCTCCACCGATCGCGCAAAGAATTGAATTGAATGCTGCCAGACAAAAGTTGCGGTTCGCATTGTAAACTGCACAGTCGTCTCCTGCTGTGCTGACATTTCAGCTTATTTCAGGCTAAACTTAGCTATCTTTAAATGTGTTAGAAGCTTAGTTGTATGGGCTGTTTAGAATTTTTAGCGAAATAAATTTGGCTTTTTTTCAGCTTTTAGTGTAAATGGCATCTCTCTACGATTTTATCGGGAATGCTGACTCGTATATCGGATGAGAGTTAGGCGAAGCTGTGGAAAGAGAGAGAGAATAGGAGAACTGAGAACTGTAAGCAAAGAAGAGCTCTACTCTGTGCTTGCGATTCGAATAAAAGGTACCCCCGAATCTTATATATGTATATGTTGGTGAAACATTAAATTGACGTCATATTATATACTTACATTTGTAAAATTTGATTTATTTATGTTCATTAATCTGGCGAAGGTACATACATAAATAAATGCATGTGTTCCTATGTACATACCTACCTAGAGACAAATCAACATACTCTACGGAGCGATCGAGTACCTATTACGTCAAAAGCAGAGCGTCAAAGAAGTGAAGCGATAGAGAACAGCACAAAGCTTACATGCATACATACGTATGCATGCATGTGAGTACATGAGCACAGTTATTGGATTCGCAATAGATATGTATATGTGTAGGTACATAAACACAACGAAATTTCATCCTGTTTGTTGTCATTGAGACTAACAATTTGCAAGCAGATAAACCAATGTGTTGCTCATAAGGCTAATTGATAATTCCACAATCAAACCATAGCCCTACTCAACGACAAGTGTGCAATATATGACGATTCTAAATTATTACGCAATTATTAGGGACGAGTTGTCTTATAATTAACTTCTATTTGTCTTGCTAACAGAATCCATCCCAGTCCCGAGTGGCCCAAGTGCTTTATGAGCTGGCTGGGCTTTCTTCGTTTCGTCTGTGTGCATAATGTGCCAGGCAGCAGGGCCAACGGCATACCTCATTTCAGAAATTGTTGGAAATTTCCTAATTGCTTACATACATATTTTCACACATTCGTACTGTCTATGCGCATGCACGAGCATGCAAAGTGTGTCTTTCGGAATCGGTATTTCTGTGCCTGGGCAAAACCACAAAATTTACTTTGTCTTTTCCCATGCATTTGAAATTGATGGCTCTGGCACACAATGAGTGTTGGTCATCGAGTGGTCCACTAAAGTAAACAGATTTGAGATAATTTATATTTGTGCTGGCCAAACAATCGGCACTCGTTATGCATTTCCAGACATGACATGTGCACGGATTCGGCAAATTAAAACTCCACTTATAATTTATACTAATTAGAGCAGAGAAGGCAAATAAAGAAAATAATCCTAATTCAAACTTAACAACAGAATTAAGACCAAGTTGGTTCTACTAAGCTTTACAGTAAATATATTTAAACTAATCTCGAATCGAGTTGTACTCGTAATTGTCGAGTCTTGGCTCAAGGCGGTCTGTACATGTTCTTGGGGTATGCTTGTGCCTAGTATTCGTACTACATGCAATTGATTTACTTTAACCGCGAGGCAATTTGGCACGCTCAATGGGGCACGCGATGGCTTCCAGGGCTTGGAGAGTACAGTCGTAATTAAGCGCCGGTGCGTCCCCGGAGTGTAGTTAATGCTGTGAGGTAATAAATTTCCCCTGTTGTCCGTGTTAAGATGTGTTTGCGGCTGGTTATTTACGACTGGCTGCTGTATTTGTCAGGTGAGGCAGCGATGTGTGCGGATTGGGAATTGAATTTGGCAAACACTTTGCTTTCAGAGCTAAAACACGAATTGGCTTCTACATGTCCACGACTTTGGAACATGCTACTCCTACATACATAAATTCTTCAGAGTGATTTAGTTTGAACAACGATGAGCAACACCTCCTGCTGCATGATGATGAAGGATTCCCTTAAGGGACTAATCTAGCTACTGATGCCTGGTTTCACGGTGATTTCTCAGGGCTTATTGTCGCGTTAATTTGGCTGCCTTAAAGCGACAATACGACAACTTGCACTCAGCACACTTTCACTTCGGGAACATCAACAAGTTCTTGTTGTTTTCCGCTCCAAAGTGCACTTGCAATGTTGAACGTCGCACGGAGGAGACGTTGCGCAACGGAAGATGGCAGCCCGTGGCACCAGGCACCAGGCAGCAGGCAGGAGCCAGGCAGGCATCGACATGTGGGGTAAAGGATATACATGTACTCGTATACAGAGCTGTCTAGCTGTCGACTTGTCCATCTTCTTGGTCGTTATCTCGTGAAATATGACAATCTACGCCCAAGTCGACATGGTCGACAGTGGAAATGGAAGTGGAAGTGGAAGGAAGTCGAGCTGGGAGCACTACCCACTCAGGTACACTCGCTTATGGACAGCGTAATGGCAGATTCGAGTTGAGTGAAATAACGCCCTAGAGGGCGTGAGAGGGGAGTGCTACTCGTGCAGAGAGAGACAAGCTCATGCAAATATTCATGAGAAATATATTAAAAATGAATTACTAACTCTGAGGCACGGCACAGACCACATAGGTACAGGAGGGTACAGAGGTGGTTATCCCAGCCAGAGGTGCCCCACAAATGTTTATGTTTGTGCAGCACACACACACACACACACACACACACACGAATACAGCTAATTTTTGCAATTTTCCCAATGATATCCTCCGGCTGAGGGACTTCTAATGACATGCTTTTTAATTGGCACTGCAATTTATTTAATTGCTGAAATGTCATTTAAGACCAATTATGTTAGTTCTAGTGGCCGAGAACATGGCCAGGAAAATGATAATGTTCAAGTTAATTAATTTCAGAGCACCTAATCGGATCTCTTAACATTTATTGAGCCTTCACTTTATCTATGGATTAGATGATCTCTCGAAGGTAACATGGAGCTGTGCTGGCATTCATTCATCGATCAAAGCAACTGTCAGGCCCAGAAATCGCTACATTTACATCTAAATTGTTCCCATTCATTATTTAGACATATTATTTGCATTGCACGTGACAGAAATCCCAAAGGCTCTCAATGGATTGCCATTTGCTAAACGTTTCTTGGAACTCTAAGGATATGTTATGGAAAAACGCCGAATAACTATGTCGATTATCACTTTGATGTAGCTGTGACTCTGTACTTAACATGAAATATTGATCAATTACAATACATTCAACATATTCGCAGTTGGGGATCGATAATTTAGCGGTGGAGCGGTTTCTGTTGAGTACACAAGAAGGCGGGGTGGAGCCGTTAAGAGTTCGCGGCTGTAGGGACGAAAATTCGTTGAATGCAAAGTATTTTTATGGCTGCCATTGAAACGAAATGGCTTCTTATTTATCGGCTAAATGCCCTGAATTTCAATTAGGCGAACATGAATGATTCCCCGAAAGACAATAGCTCGATGGAAGACCCCCAAGGGAGGAGTGCCGAAGGTTCCTCTGGGGCGCCCGTCGGCCTGCCCGGACTGGGACAAATTCAAAAACTCATTCGCTCGAATTTGGTTAATTTGCCCATCTCCAAAGCGTGTTCGTGCACTCGCAGCGCATCCTGCGGAAACGCTAGCACACACACTGGCACACACACTTGAGCATTCCCGACTTGAGACAAGGCCGAGGGCAGTGGCCGTGCCAGCCGCTTCGTGGCCATTCCTTCATGCATGAGCACGCCACTGGTTTCGCTCCTCATTCGCTTTCGCTTACATTTCCGTTTCCTTCTTATGCGACGAGTCGCTGTCGCCCTAAGGGGGAGGTCCTCAGAGTCGGAAAGAGAAACGTTTTCGATTCGATTCGTTTCGATTTTTGCCAATTGCCTGGGACCCTGCCCTGTCGGCGTATGACGAATATGTCGGATACGTGCCACAGCCACAGCCGCTGCTCATATGCACCATTGAAGCAGCGTCCCCCAGTCCATCCCGCCAGATGAAGAATTTTGTTGTTGTTGTTGAACCGACGGCGGAGGAGGCTCCCGGTGCGATATTTGTTTTTCGCTTTTGCATATTTTGCGGGTAATTTGGGTAAAAGGATTTCTTCGCTCTGCTGTGGCGCCTCGCTTTGTGGCTTTCTCTGCCATCCTCCGCCGCCTGCCCCACGAATACACTGTGCCTGCAAATCGCTCACGTAAAATATTCATGCGTTTTTCCTTGGCGGTTTCTGGCTCCCAAGTGCCTTGCAATTCAATTACATTTCGATTGATTTTCGTGTTTTGGCCCAGACTGGGAAATATCCAAGGTTCTGGATCTTGGCTACGCTATGCAAAGAGCATACGATATGCTCGTTTAAGTGTGTTTGATGGCAGCATTTATGTACTTCCGTGACATGTACCAAAACCCTTCCATGAGCGGACGAGTGATCATTCGCTTTGAAGGGTGTGCATTTCCATTAAATATAAATACAAATGTATATCTGAAGATCCCCTTCTTTTACTTGGAAAACTGCCTGATAAAACTTATTTCTATTTTGTTTATTTGCTTGTGTAAAAGGATCAGCTTACTTGGTTTATTTCCACACTTTTATTTGTATACGTCTGGTCTCTGTCGCACAGCAAAATCATTATGTTCAATCAGCAGTTTTATTGCCAGGGCGGAGGCAGTGCACATCGAATGCTGAAATCAGATATACACAAAGGCAGCTAAGCGCCAAGATACAGGGACACACAAATAAACAAATGTTTCTACATTCCTTTCCTTTGCCGAAAACAATCAAATTAGATGGGGAAGAACGAATGCCCCCAAGAGTGCACAAGTGTCATGGAAGCTGTTCGGGTTCATTTCTGCTCTCCCCACTCAAATAATATAAAACACCTCTTTCTATGCCTAATGATGTTTTTAATCAGTTTTCCATTTTCGACCGAACGCAGTTAATTCCAATTGGAGAGATTTAGTCTAGTGAATGATGACTCCATTATCCAAATGACATTGGCACACGTTTAATGGTTCTTTGCCAACAAATGTAGCAGTTCGAATCGAAGCCTTCAACGGTCTTACGTGGGCCATTATCGACTAGACACAATGTGAAACAAAGTACACGGAATCAATTAAATCTCCGAATCGCAACGCAAACACCCCCAAGGCAATGGGGCAGGAGCTGTCGGCACACAAAATACTCCCACGAGACTCATTCTCGCCTTCAGAGTGGCCTGATATCAAACACAAACATACTCCGGAGTTGCTTTAAATTGGAGAGTTGAGTGGCTGCCGTATACATATATTGATGTACGCCGGCTTCCTGTTAGGAGTTGGGTGCCGAAAAGTAGGCGGAGGGCCAGCCTCCTGTTCTTAGGATATTTAAAAACGAAACTGCTGCGTAAACAATTGAAAATTATGTCTCAACTTTAGGTGGACTCTACTCTTTCTTTCTACATTTAATTTCAATTTGATTTTCCAATAGATATTCGAGAGTACCAGTGTAATCGGAGCTAAGGCAAGTGCTTTTTCCATTGCTGTTGCTTTTGGCATAGCTCTGACATGGTTGTATAAATATTAAATTTCATTTTAGACTAAAAATCTTCCATCTTTTCAGATTGCACAAACACAAGAATCTGGTACTCAAAGACTGTGTGTGTGTGTGTGTGTGTGTGCGTCTGGTTGCAAGTAAAAGTAGTGTGGAGGGGGCTGAAACTGTCGCTGAAAGTGAGCTGCGGTTGGCAGGCACAAAAAAGGCTTCAAGGGGCAGATAAGCGGCTATAAGATTATTTTTACTGGCGACCCGTTGACCGTAAAAAGGAAGGCAGCTCCTTTGCGGTCACTAACATTTACCCATGCGGACATCCTGGGCTGGAGCCGGAGCTGGAGCCGAATCTCCGTGGCTGCAGCTGCCCCCCCCCAGCTGTCCTGCCACCAATTTGCTTTGTTGTCGCAGCCCGTCTGTCGCCTCGCGTGAACTCCGAACTCAGCTTCCGTGCTGTGCCCTTTATGATTTTCGTTTTCACTTTTATTTTTTGCCAGTCTCTGGCTGCCGGAGCTTCCACGGCAGAGGTCGGCCCTTTCCGGCAATGATAAGAATGTGGCATAAAGTTTAACGTGCTCCTGAGGCTGCCGCCGGCATCTTCCACGGGTCCAATATTTTATTGAGCAGTGGAAATTAATGCCTGATTGACACTCCTCAAAGCACAGCAGCAGCGGACACAGCGGAAATGAGTAAAATGTAATAGCTTAAGGGGTCTTAAACGATACTCCCACATGGATACAGCAAACGGCGACCCTTTTACACATGTTCTTACCTAAATGGAGTTTTTATAACCATCTACAGAGATGTTGGCACTTCCGTAAATAAACTGAGACACCCAGAATATACTCTGCGTTACAGATATGCCGATTTATTGTCCATTTTCAAAGTTATAGTTCAATAAATGTAGTAAATGTGATTACTTTTCAGCGGAGAGCAACTTGAATCTCATTCGCTCCATGCTTATACCTTCTAGACGAATATCCACGGATGCGGACATGCCCGCCACCACATCCTCGTCCTGCTCCTTCGTGGAAGCGACGAATTTAACATCAATGGTGTCGCCACTCAATGGATCATTCGGGGACTTGGCAATGCTGCGCAACACAACGGCCACATCCCGTCTGCGCGGGGGCTTGGGTACGTCTGGGAAGGGTGGATTGGGGGATATGGGTGATTCAGCTGCCAGTTGTCGAGCCATCCTCGAGTGCTCTGCATAGATCTTGTACTCATCCGAGTGAAAGGCTTTGCCGCGATGCAAGTACTGCTTCAGCGTCTTGGAGCGCATTCTCTTGCGTGCCTTGGGATCCTTGGTCGTCGCCCCAATGGCCACCAAGGCAATGGCGCACTGGCTGTACTGCAAATGGAAGCCGTCGCTCTGGCAACTGCTGACCACAGCGGCCACCACATACGCGATGTCCACCACACGACGCCTGAGGGCACTCAAGGCAGCCGCAATCTTCGGAATGCTCTGGGGCTCAAAGACGGCGCGAGAGAGCGGCGTCAGCAGAATCTTGTCGCGCGGATTGTGCTGCGCCGGCAACAGGGCACACATCTGGGTGGCGGCAAGCAGGCCGGCCTGCTTCATGGTCAAATATAGCTTGCCGTCCCTGACTTGGGGCTGGCTCTTGATCGGCCGAAGAAATGTGTAAGTGTGCACGTAAACGCTGCTGCCGCCACTGAAAACCAAACGCCACATCTGGTCCTCGCCACTTTGCTTCACATACCGCATCTTGGGGCCCAGCTCGAAGAGCACCCTGTTGGCAAAATCCAAACTTTGGAGCTTCTCCGATGCGCCACCAGGCCGAAAATCGGGGCAAATAACTCTGAAGGTGTCGCACAGCGTCTTGAAATCCAAACCATTGGTTGTTCCCTTTGCCATGATGTGATGTGATGTACTGAAAGAAGTCGAATAATGAAATGATTCATATCAGAATTCTACAATGGAAATATACACACACAAGACAAGTTCGAGTAGGGAAAATAAACAAACCGAAATTGAATTCCTCGAATCCACAGAGTGCGTTCTGTCGTCTAAGCTGCCGTTTTGCCGTCTGTGCAATTATGGGCTGGATGGGCTGGTGGCTAGCTGTATTTGAGAATTCAGCTACGAATATCGATAGAGCCTATCGCATTCAATCGGATTTTTATTGAAGGCAAGCGATTATTTGGGTCATCGATCCGCCCAAAAGTATAACTGGCTTTCCCAGCTAAACACTCCAGAGAGATTTCATTCGTAGATTTCAGCAAGTGAGAACAATTTCTTAACTATATTGGATCAATCGTATGCCTCACGTGCATTATCTTGGTGACAGGCAGTGTATTTACTGAGCCTCCACGGCACGTGATTATGGGGAAAAGTTGTACGTGTAGCGGCGGGTGGACAGGTGTGCTTTGCCGCATCCGCAGGGGTGTACCGCCGTGTGCCACTTTCATCCACACACTCGAGCTTGTTGTTTTTCTCTCACAACATGAACAATATTTTGCGAAGCCGGCAAACTTTTAACAGTCTCCGTCCTTGCATGTTTTTGGTTCTTTTCGTATGCTGGGAATGATTACATGGCTAGGCACTTCCAGCTACGTTTTTAAAATTTAAATTTATACAATGTAAGATTCCCTATATATTTTATCCTATGAACTGTTGTTTAAACTTTTAAGTTAACTAATTTATTAATTTAAGCATCACATTTTATGTTTGAAGGTTCTCTGTCCTCGATGGTCGCCACAGAGGGCCTCCTCAAAATCCATTTGATCGCGCAGACATTTGAGCAGGGACATGACTGCATCGACGATGTCGTCTACAGTGAGGGGACGACACTCGGCTATCATCACTGCAAGGATAATGGGTATGTAGACGTCCCTGCGGCTCGCCTCCATTGAATGTTTGTTTTCTTTCGGAACTGAGCTGGGAATTTCTGGCTACCAAAATAAAACACGAGTGTTGTTTTCGTTGTGGAAGATACGATAAACTAAAATGGTAGAACTGAATCTCTACTTGGTTGACAAGCAGCTCCAGGGGCACTTACTTTTTGCCTTCCTTACTTTGGAACCATACAAGGTATGTACAATAAGTACTTTAACATATATTTTATTCTGCAATCGAATTCTTATTGAATTTAAAATTTGGTTCTTAAAAGTTGTTTATGTATCACTTCCTAGTTCCAGAGATGTTCCCTGCTCGATGCCTGTCTCCAGTGGCACCATCAAAGTCAATTGGATCTCGCAAAGAGCTGAGCAGTTCCATGACTCCAGCGACGATTTCGTCCAAGGGAACGGGGCGACTGTAGGCGGCCATCACGGCCAGCACGATGGGTATGTAGATGTCTTTGCGGCTCGAGCTCGAGTCCATTGAACGTTCTCCTTTTGATGTTAACTACAAATTTCGATGAAAATAGAACCGAATTCTACGTTTGATTTGGATAATACAAGTGAGTGAAATGCTATTGCTTGCTTCAATGCAAGACTAGGAATTTATGACATTTCCACTTGACAAGCACCGAAAGGAACACTTCAATTGTGTGTCTCCAGTTTCGATGGCATGCCAGCCAGCCAGCGTGCACTGGAAAAATTCAATTTGAAAAATGCCACTTGTCAGCTGGTGGTCACACTCGTATCGACTCGCCTTCTATTCTGCTCTCTCTCCTCTCTCTCTCTGCCTTTGACTCGTACTTGGAGTCACTTCTGCTGCTGTGTGGTGCATTTTCGGTACATCGATACGTCGCGTCTGTAGTGGGAGTGGTGGGAGTGGCAATACGGATGCGCCGGGAGATACATTTCATATGCAAATTGCCCTCAACACAGAGACGGGCAAGACAATAACAAAAATATACCACACATATGCAAATAAGGCAGCTCCACTGCCCCTCCACGCAGAAAGAAAATGGAATCGCATCCATAAAGCAGACAGCGGCAGAGTGAAGAGAGTTTACAGTTTATTTCCTTTCATGTGGATATTGCATAAACTGAATTGAACTACAGAACTTACAGCGAATCTCTGCGGCTCTTAGACTTGGTTTACTATTATTGCTGCTACGCTGGGACAAGCTTAGAAACTGCCCAAATATTAGATGGAGAGAGAGAAGCTCTTCAGACTTCTGCAGCAGCTTTTCAGCAAAGTCGACAGCATTGAATTACCGGCTCATCGCTGTGTAAACACACAACACACACACCCACACTGTGTGAAGTAAATACATACATGCATGTATGGGGTTCGTTTGTTTAACGATCGGGTGTCGTCGCATTCGGGTGCGCTCTTCGGGCTGCAGTTCATTATTCAGTTCTCTTGGAGTCGACGGTTCGCGAGCATTCAGATATCGGGACCAAACGCGCACTGACCGATGTGTCCGCCCTTCGATCATTATAGATTTCAAAAATCTTTTGTCTTTTATCTATATAGTAACATATAGGATTTAACTACAACATTTGTGTGTGCTTTCTGTGTGAAATTGAGTGCATACTGTACATATTTGAGTGCATAATAAAGTAAGAGAAACATTTATTAAGTGAATTCAATAACGGCACGTACAGAGGTTTTGTTGGGAAACTAAGATGCACTGCCTACATTTACATATTCTATACATACATGTTTACATACATATATGTATGTACATATATTTATGATAAAATACGCTGAGGATAGCAAAAAAGTTGCTGGCATACAATGCATTTGTGTTAATCCAGAGAAATCTTTCCTTGAAAACAAACTCATCAATTGCAGAATTATGGCAGCAATCACTGGAACCAAATTCAGCTTGGACTTTGAAAAGCTGAAGGAAACATTTGCTGAAATCTGCCCGGACTTTGGGGAGGAGCTCAGCTATGAGGTGGCCAGCGTGTCTCGTCGCTTTGCCGAGCAAGTGATCTTCTCGTACAGCAAGCAGGCCAAGGCAGCCAAGGCTGAGAAGAAGGACATGACCTGGACCATGCGGCTGGACGTGAAGAACGAAGATGGATTTGATGTTCGCAATGAGGTGCAGATACTGACGCACTTCCTACGGGAACCGCTGCTGACCCAGCCCTTTGTGATGCGCAATCAGCTGCGGATCACATTTAAGCAGGCCAGCCTGCTGGCTGTGCACAAGTATTGCCAGCTGGTGCCGCACTTGGTGAAGCGCAGAGAGATTGTGCTCACGCCGCTGGCTGGTGCTGTATTTGCCCAGGACGACATGCCAAAGCTGGCAGAGATGCTGGACGTTCCTCTCGCCGATCTGGTTATGGCTGTCATCAGCAGCTGCCAGACGGACGGCTACTACCTGGAGCACAGTCGCTGTCACATCGCGTTGGTGGCACTCGTAAAGACGGTCGCCGATGACAAGATGCGCTCCTCGATCGTTAAGAAAACCATCAAAATGTACAAGCAGCACGGCAAGCACTTCGACATGGAAAAGTACAAACTTTGGAGTACATTCCAGCGACGTTCTGCTCCTGCCTCGAGAGAGGCAAAGGCAAAGCCACAGACGAGGACGAGTATGATAAGCTGGCCGCGCAGGTTCTGGCTTTGCAACTGAGCAGGCACAAGGCGGGGGAGCCAAGCCAGATTAAAGGTACACCAAAGCGTGCCATGAAATGTGCAGCCAATTTTCAGATGGCCAAAACAAGCCTCATGTGAAGATCCAGCTATGTCTGAACTGGAATTAAGCAACGGCAAGCAAATTACACATCGCACATGCGAGTTTGATTTCAATTTACTCTATAAAACTCACCTTAATTTGGCTTAGGCTGAAGATGGGAATTTGTTCTTGGTACTTCCATCTAATTATGACAACAATCTACGTTCTTTCTTTCTCACTTATATTTCATATATTAACACAACTTTTTGTCATTCCTGAGCTTGCAGAGGCCGCACATCAAGGAAATCGTTTCTTAACAGATTACCAATGAGACCGATCGTACTTCGAGTTTACAAACAAAAATAAAACATAACTTTCCGAGTATTAAGCGTCACTTAAAACTAAACCGTAATACTATAAACAACGAATTGTTTTGAAAACAATCATGCGAATGGGGCACATCATTTGGGTTGCGGCGGCGCCTTTTGCTTTTTTGGCGGCAATGAATACTGTTTGGGCCCCGTTTGCCTGAGTTCTTGCGACAGGTTGATGCGTTGTTTCTCCATGTGGGTGATGAGTCCGACGGACTGCATAAATTCTTCCTTCGGGCGCTCCGCTTTGTCGACCTGAGGTGTACGCGTGCGTGCCAACGCTGCCTGTAGGTTGAGGCGGCTCTCCTTGACCACTGTGGTCGTGTAGGCGTGCAGCCGCAATTGTGGGGCAGACACGTCGCTGGTGATAAAGTACTTTCGCATCAGTTCCTGCTCTGTTGGCCGCACGCTGACAAAGTACGGCTCTAACGATACTTTTACAGACACCACAAGCGGCACAATAGCCCCACTGACAATATCGTTTATCACTTCATCATCGGGCTTCAGCTCCTGCTCACTAAATGCCAAACAGAAGCGATCGATGTCATCCTGCAGGCGCAACAGCATGTACTGGCACTCGGCATTCACCTCGTACAGAATCTCCTCGAGTTCGTGAAGGTAGCTGTTCTTGATAACGGGATCCTGAAAGAACAACAGAGATAAATACTCCGTTATTTCTGGCGGCAAATGTGTACTTACGGCGTCCTCTTGCTCGCCGAAAACGCGAACGATTGTCTGCAAAAGATCGCGGATTGGCGATAAGTAAACATTGTACTTTCTCTTGTAATTAACATACACACCTGGTGTATCAACAGATACGTCTTCATGGCACGCTGACAGTAGGCAATATCGTTTACCACTTTGTCCGGCGGCTTGTAGAATTTCCGAAGGTAATGCTCAAAGAAGCGCTGGGCGCTTGGCATCGAGTTTGCTTGGCGCATTTTGATTAGGAATTCTTTAATTATCTCATAGCGCTCCATCGGCGTGAAGTCGTTGAAGTTAATGGCCTCCATTTCCGAACGTTTAGCTCCGTTTTCTATGTTTCCTGCGAAATTACTTTAATTGTTTGTTTTGATGCCAGAAAAATTGCCGCTCTTTGGATCCGCCAAAATGCCCTGAAAAATACCAACTGCGTAGTGGCAGCGCCTTGACTGTAAAAATATCGATAGCATTGGTGATCGATATTCACATTGTCCAAGCTGATCGCTAGGTTTGAATCAAAATTTAAGTTAAAGTGCGCGACTATCAGTGAATTCGTAATTCGTAATTTATGCAAGCCATTTACGACCAAAAGCGCTCACAGCTGTCGACCCAGCTCCAGTGTTACAATAGTAAACATGATTGATAGTATCGGTTGTGGCTGAGCTCAGTTTCAGCCCTGCAGCCGGACCTGCTGCTGCTCAGCCATGTGTGTAAATAAATTAATTACTATTTAATTATTCACATTTCGATCAATTGCAGCATGGACATTCTGTGTCGATTTCAATTATGTTCTGACCCGGACACACACAGTTGCAAAAATACAGCGACAGTTAATTATTATGAATGATTTACATTTCCATCGAAGCGTTGAAACAGCTGGAACAGCATTTATGCCTGCACACAAAAGAGGAAACATTTGGACACGTTTCTGATGTATTAGATTTCATGGAATGGATCACCCGTGCACCGTTTCTGAGGTATCTGCCAGACGCTCAACTCTTATTTTTTTTGTTTTGTTTGCCTTATCCTCGGGCAACTTTAAGTCCTTGTGGTTCCAGTCAGCAAACTTTTGACCGCAAATGGGTTTGGGGTCTGAGCATAATCCACAAACGCCATTTTGGGTTGAAAAGGCCACAGAATACGCACAAAAATCTCGAGAGCAGGCCAAAGCCAAAGGCAAAGGCAAAGGCAAAAACGAAATGCAACTGAAATCTCATCATAAGCCCTGTCCTGTTGTCTTTCCGTTCCGTTCAGAACAAACAAGCACTCGGGCTCGGGATTTGCGAGTGAGTTTTCTTAATTTCCTTCGGGCAGCGGTAACCTACGAGTATTTTAGTTGATTTCTGTGTCAGCACAGGGCACAGTGCAGGCAGCACGTTGAAAAACATCCAGCAGACCCTTACAAGTGTTATGCACATTAATGTTACATTAATAAATTATCTTTTATGACGCCTTTTTGTTGTGCACAAATGAATAATGGAAAAGGTCCCGAAGCAAGCTAATAATACAAGTAGTGCATAAAGCAACAATCCACGTACAGTTCTTGCTGCCGAGTGATACAACATATAGAGCAGATAACTGATGGTTTCTGGATGCCGAGCAATATTCATGTTGCCGCTTCAAAGGCTGAATGTGGCTGAACAATAGAAAGTGCAGGAGCAGCAATCCCTAGCAACGACGGTTAAGGAGGCACAAAAAAAAGGGACCAACCCGAGGCAGAGACAGAGACAGAGACAGAGAGAAAAGCAAAAAGGACAATGGCACCTAATGGTCCGTTAGTGGTGCTGTTGCTCTTGCTGCTTCTGCTGCTGGTGTTGCTGCTGGTTCCGGCCGGAACAGTCGCACGTGGTGCGATGAGAGTGTCCCTCATTTATCATTTACACACCAACGCACGTGAAAACAGTCCCAACACGGCAAGATGACGGCCCGGTCGGTTGGGTCGCTGCTCGCTGCTCTCTGCTAAGGTCTCCATTTCATACGACTGCCAGAAATTCCATTAACGCCCCATGCAGGCCCAGCCCAGAGGGCTTCCAGTTTCGGTTTCGGCCCCCTCATCATTTGCATTGATTAAATCACTCTGCGGTCGGACCCGACAAATGGCTTAAAAATGCGAACCAACTTTCCGCTCAATTGTTCGTGCGTCCGTTTTTATGCACTCCCACCGATCCTGTCCTGTCCTGTCCTTTTCTTTTTCCCTCGTACAAATTGCTAATGTTCTTTTTGCTTTTTTGTTGTATTTTTATATCAGATTTCCCCTATTTTCAACAACCTAGGCAGTCGGCAACCTTTGGCAACCGTTTCTGCGGCAGACTGTGCTCCGCTCCAATATTTCCAATAAATTTCACTCTGCAGCCTCGGGCTGTCAGCGTTGGGTTTCGGTTTTGAATTGCCACTGATGAGGGCGCAGCGGAGTACCGGGCGCTGTGCGCGAGCACACGTTTCCCAGGAGAGCAGAGAGAGAGAAATGTGTAATGTTGGTGCAATCAATGTTGTTGGCGCAACAGCAGCCAGCCATGCCCCCTTCCGCACATATCGATTTCCGTTTAAGTTTGGCTTTCTTGTTTGAAATCGTTTCTATTCGAAAGTTTTGCCTCCACTCCAACTATGATCCCAGAGCCAGAATGTTCGCAAGTTTAACTCAAGCTTAACGAACTCAATCGGTTGTGGTCTGACTATCATTATGAAAATTAATCAATCAGTTCGGATGCGCAACCGAATGCAAAAACTGTCTGGGGATTGAATGCGTTGCACAGCGACCTAGAATGCATTCATTCCACTCCATTACCATATTGACTCCAGCTGACTTTACTTTTTTGTGTGAAAATTGGAAGCGAAAAAATGGTTAAACCGAAACAAATGAATCGTTGATGGCAGTGGGCAGTTTATGGAAGCAGTTAAACGGAAAACAGTTTCAACCTTTTATGAATTATACAATATTTAATCATTCTCAGCATAGTTTAAATAGATGAAAAGTGGATCTCAGTGTAGATCGAAGATGGGTAAGCGTTTCAAACGCAACGGCCATCGTAGCGATAATCGATAAGAACACAACAATTCTCTTCCGTCGGGGTGGCAACGCCAAGCACCAAAATCAGCTGTTGCACGTATTCCGCAATAACATTTAATTTGTTTACAATAGATAGAATGCTCTTCTCAGGCAAATACAACAAGTTTTGCGATGCTGGTTCTTCCGCTGTACCTAACCACACGAGTGACTGAAGACGCAGATCTGCTACTATTGAAGGTTTATCTCGAAGATCCATACGGTATGTCAGTCCACATTTGTTTAAAATTCAATTTGGTTCTTTAAACAGCGAATGAGTGTGGATTTCTAAGGTGTGTGTTCGAAACAACTTCAGCACATAACAACTTGAATTAAATAAGATCCGATTCCGCTAATCAGGAGAGAGTAAGGGATGCACTAAACTTTGATTTCGCGAAGCTTTTTTACCCCCAATAGTGCCAGCGACTAACCTGGAGCTTGGGCATTGCCGTATGCCGTACGTGCCACACAGGATGCTGGATGCTGGATGCTTGCTTTTCAGCCTTATTTTCAAATGGCTAAAAGCGAGTGGGAGAGAGATACAAAGAGTGGAGACGTAAGCCAGGAAAATGCGAGCATCTTTGATTAAATGTTAAGAGCTTTAACAGCAACAGAACAACGTTTGCTCATCGCTTGACGCCTTTTGCCTGATTTGTTTGCTTATTAGAGGTTTTCTTCCTGGCTGTTTGCACAGGCGATTCAGCAGGAGAGACAGACCCCTTGGTCCTGGCGCGGCCCAACCTTCTGGGTAAATATAAATTGGCTGGCGGAGTTTTTATCGCCACGCAAATCACCGATAACAAAACATGACGATTTGCAAATGATGTCATAAATTTACAAACAACACGGCCAATCCCAGGATGGGCAGAGGGCGGTGAGGTGGCTGCCTTGTTTATGATAAATGTTGCGGCACAACGAATATCACATTCCCGTCAACATTGTGCTGCTTTGTTGCTGCCTGTTGGGCGGCAAAAGCTCTCTGTTGATTTCTCTTTTGCTGTTAGAATGACATCCACACAACTGTTAGCCACAGAGTGTCTGCCTGTTGGGGTGGTCCTCTGTTAGTAGCAGCACAACAAATCGTTTCGCTCCATCAACATTAGCATCGTTAGCAGTTTGCCGGATTTCGGGGATGTCACAGAACAAGTCAATTTTGATTTGCATTAATTAACAAGCGTGTGCATTAACGGATTAGAGCATAATTATGTCACAAGGTTGGTGGAGAGTGGAATATGTTCCCAAAAGCCAGAAATTCCACTAATAACTCTACTCTGCGGCCATCACCGACAGCTGACAATCAATCTATGTAATTACATTTGAGTATAGCAAGTATTTATTTGTTAGTGGGTGTCCGCACTCCTTCTCTTTAAAACTAGTTGCACAAGTCTCTGCCTTTGCGGGTCTTCGGGCCATCAACGATTTTAGTTGAACTTTTGAGCATTGTTCAGCATTGTCAAGTGTCTTAAGTCGCACAGCAGACATGCAGCAGTATGCTGGAGAGGACTCAAGGAAGGAACTACACCTGAGCACTGCGACAAATGCTGCAGGGGGGGACGCGATAAAAAAGCCATCAACGTTCTAACGTTTGCCATAGAAACCGGACTGAAAGTAGCTCCCTCCAATCCTTGTCCCCATCTACAATCTGCGCCCCCAAACACACTGCAGAAGTCCAACGAAATGGCAGCTCGAAACTTTGGACAAATTATCAACTGAATGTAGCAGAAACAACAATAATCTCGGCGACAATTTCAAGAGGCAGACCAGTCCACAAAAAAAAGGAATGCAACGGAATGGCAGCGCACTAACCAACTTTTATTTGAAGCTCCTTTATTCTGGTTATTGCTATTATTATTATTATTATTTGCATGGCATAGAGCCATAACAATTTCACCCTTTGTGAGCGAGGGAGAGTCCCCAAAAGTTGAGAGCAACTTTTGAAACAGTCCCCGAACTCCACTCGGCCGGATTTCGACCCCGTTCAGAGTTGGACACTGGATAAAGAGGGCTTTCCGTAGCGTATCGAGGCAAAACACTCGGACATTGGCTTTAAAAAAGCGGCTCCCAGAGCTCCACATAATCCGTTCGTTTTGCTTTAAGAAATTCACAGCCAGAACATCAAAGAAAACGAAAAGGAAAAGGAAAGGAAAAGCCTTCCTCCACACGGGCCACGGACAACACGCTTCGGGGCTCCCTCGCTGTCGACCAAAGGGGAAGAGAGACATTTTACGAATTTCCACGGACTTTTCCGGTTGCCAAATATTTTCTTTGAGCGGGACAACGGATGCTCCGCCTGAGCAACGAAATTGCAATTAAAATGGGACTCTTTTTTCCGCTGTTTCTGTGGCTTTGGGAAGTCACTTCTTTATGCTATCATCGGCTGCTGCCAATGCCATAAGCCAGTCACGACTTTTGAGGGGAGGCTACAGTGAAGATCGTGGACCTTCCATTATGTAATCTTACCTAAGACAAAGCTACTCAAGTGTACGAGGGACTGTGTTGCTTATTATCATTGGACGACCACCAATATCGATTGGTTGGGTTGCTGCCTGCGCTCTCTCCGCTCCACTGAGATTAATTGGGCATCAATTTTCGATGCGAACTGGGGCTGTGGCGTGTGGCGTGCAGAAAGCGTCCTTGAGCCATGTTTAATAGACTTTTAAGTCGCTTTTTCGTGGCACACTGCAAGGCCATGGGCTGGACTCTGCCCAGCATCAAGGACCCATGTCGCGAGCAGGCTGTCAACTGCCGGCAGTCGTAACCATTAATCATGATTACTTCGCACTGAAGTCGACAAACGGCCTACACAGCCGCTGTGCACAATGGCCCCGTAAATTCCAGTGCTATTACTCACATTAATAAGTAATTATTTGATTCGATGGCAAACACCTCCTGGCAGGTGGATGAATCGATGGATGGATGGATGGATGGATGGATGGATGGATGGACTGTGCTCAAGTCTGGCTCTGATGTGATTTGATTCGTGTCTTCTGATGGTTGCATTTCACACATCGACACGCATTGGGGCTCGGCTCATTGATTACTCGGTTGGGTGTAACACAAATTAATGCATAAACCAGGAAAGGGCAGAGGGAGAGCTCTCCGTATGGCTCCTTAAATCTTTAAATTATGATTGTCCACTGGCAACTCCTCGCCTCATGTTTAAGCGAATCGATTTGCTTGGGACAACAGAAACAACTTAATCCCCATTAGATGGACCAAGGCAAACGAACCCCAAGAGATCTGCAAAGTAACGAAAACGGCCAGCGCAACGATTAAAACTTTTTGCGGTGCCCTGCCCCTTGCCACACACACAGACAGTTGGTGGAAACTTTCTGCTTTCTGTGTATAATTCGTTTTTATTTTCAGTTGTGGCGATTGTTTAACCGAAAGCCTCAAAACCAACTGGCGCCAGAGCCCGGACTCGCAGCTGCCACAACAAGTGACATGTCAATCAATGGCCGGTCCAGACAGACTCCCAGGACAACGGAGCGGCCAAAGAAATTGGCCACAAGCCGGACAGACAGCTCGCTCTCTCTTTTGGCCGAAAGTTGCTACTGGCCAGCGGCTATTCAGCTTCGATTCGACCGCTGACAAAGGCGGATTGCTGGCGCTTTATTTAAGGTGCCGCCACAGCACACCAGAGGCAAAGCCACAGCAAAGAAAATACAAATAAAATGAAGTTTTACCCGGGCAGATAAAGTGGAAACGTTCATTATCAACGGAAGCCATTGGGGAAATAGTTTTCACTTAAAAGTGCTCCTTTGCCTGGCGGGAAGATGGTCAGCAATGGCTGTGCCGGAAACCGGAAATACTGCAAAAATGCGTAGACAAAAGGCGGCCACAGATAAACGTTTTGTACCGAAAAAAAAGGATGCAAAGTGGAAAGACAGAACACGTATCCGTTGCACTCGTGGAGAGCATTCCGGGCGATTTGCTCAAAACATTTCTTGCAGTGCGGAACGCTGACCTACGTGGTGCTCCAGGGTCCCAGGTAGGGGACAATGGACTCGTCCCAGTCATACATACAAATTGCACTTTGAGAGCGCACACACACACACACACACACACACACACAGGACGCATGCAAGTGGGTCAATGTACGCCCCTGCGGGCTGGGGATAATGTCAGACACAGCAGTCCTGCGGGGGGGCGCTTTGTCCTGTGCTTCAGCGATAAGCATCTGCAGCGTGTCCGAGTGTCCTGCGGCGCTTTTAAAGTATGAACTCTCCTCGAGCAGTCTCTTCTAATGGCCCTCAGCTAGGAGTAGGTGCGAGAAAGGTTCCCTAACACCGAAATAGCACTTGGATTTGCTCATTAATGGAAGGTGTTGGAAGTTTGAGTGGCTCAGCATTTGACATTTCCGCTCTTAGAGCGCTCAGCCTCAGATGAAACTCAATTGAAAGGCGCTCAAAGCTCAGCTCAGCTCAGCTCAGCTCGGGTTATGAGTGGCGCTCAATTGGGGTTCTAAATGCTGGGGCATAAAGCGTGGGCGGGTGTGTGCCGCATCAATTGCCACGAAACGCGACACATTTGTACAGAATTCCGAATTGCTTTAATTCGGCGATGACTGCCGAGCAAACAGCACGGAAAACCTCCCCACAAAAGTCCAAACTTTGTTCTAATTGAGTGTCAAGTTTAGAGATGATGAAAATGAAACTATGGCTGCTGCCTTTGCTGCACTGCCTGCTGCTCATCGCACCCCTCAGAGGTGAGTCGAAAAGCAAACCCAGCAAACAGAAGACAGAACCCATATCCAACCACAGCCAGCTGCCCCATCTATCTGACCATCTCGCTGTCGGGCAAGGCCTTGCATGACTCTTGCCTGGAGGTTAACTGGGGTCCCGACTGCGCCGGCCCGCCCGAATGGATTGGCATCTATGGCCAGGATCCAACCATATCCAACTTCCAGCCGGAACTGCGCATCAATGGCCTTAACAATCGAACGGGCAAACTGTCGACGCCCATAAAGCTGGGCAAGCTGCTGTTTCCCGGTGGCTGGAATCGTCTGGATGGCAATGAGTCGCCGGCCACACGGTATCCCAGGGGCAAGTGCCTGCCACACTACGTGGCCAGCTACAATGGCACGGAGCTGCTCACCGTCGAGTGCCTGAAGATCCAGCCCAATTGGATGGCCCAAATCAAGGACGGGGAACAGATGCCCCTGAAGAGTCTCTTCCTGCCGGGCACCCATGCCTCGGGCGCCTTCCTTGCCAGCTACAGCAAGACCAAGTCGCTGCTCGTCAAGGACTATCTGGTGGCGCAGCATTTCGATGTGTGGTCGCAGCTTGTCTTCGGCATAAGATATTTGGACTTTAGTGTGGGGTAAGTAGTGCGGCTGAGAGCTGATTGAAAGATAATTCCTCTCTCCTCTGCCTCTTCCCCTCTACAGCTACAAGTACATGGACAGTGACAACGATGCCGACAATTTCTGGATAGCCAATGAGAATATGTTCATCATACCCCTGGCCGGTGTGCTGCGCGACGTGCGTCACTTTGTGGAACGCTCTGGGGAGCTGGTCATACTCGACTTTAGCTCCTTTCCCATTGGCTTCTACAAGCATCCGGAGATCTACAGCTCGCTGTTTCACCTGTTGCGCCAGGAGCTGGGCGAGGTGGCCTATCAGCGGAATGTGACGCTGGATGAGCATTGCGCCAATCGCAACTTTCGGCAGCTCCTGGCGCTGGGCATACACGTGGTGCTGTTGTTTCCCACCCAAGAGCTGCCCTACCCGGAGAATGGTAAACATGTTTGACAATATTTTTGCTGACTAACCTGTCGCTTTGGTTGCTGCACACAGAATCGGGGCTGCTCTGCTCGCCGTGGCAGCGCTTCAGCACCAGCTACATGAACATCTCCCAGACGCTGGATTATATGCGTTTGCTGTTCAGCAGGAAGCCTGGTGGACCTGTGCAGGATGATGGCTGGATATTCACCGCTGTGAAGAGCATGGAGCAGACCCTCAACACGCACAAGCTGCAGACGGCCAAGCAGCGGGCGGCAGTGATCAATCCCAAGGTGAATCAGTGGCTGAAGGGTCCGTGGGGCATGAACGCCAATGTCGTGTCCATGGATTACTTCAGCAACACGAATATCGTCGATTTGGCAATAGAAGTGAACGCGCACAAGGCCTTTTTGCTGGCCAACAAGGACAAGTTCATTAATTTGGAAATTTTGCGTTAAAAACGCGGAAAACGTGGCAATCGTAAATATATCGTATATCGTATATCGAACTAACACAAGTTGGCAGCTCTTTAAATCCTGGCATAGCAAAGACACAATCCTTTTAGTGCGTACATCAATCCTTAAAAGCTGCTCTAGTAAAATCGAGAACCAAAGCTTTAAAGCTTGAGTGAAAACACAAACCAAGTAAATTTAAATTTGAATTTGAAATTGCAAGTTCAACTGTCTTTTGGCTAGTAGTTTTCTCACGATATTCGGGCCTGAGAGCGACCTTCATGCGCTGCCTACACCGTAATTATTTTGTGCACGCAATCTAAGGTCAACGCTTGACTTTTCTGCCATTGAGAATGGAATGTAGATCACCAATTTGCATAAATAATATCGACTGTCAATTGCCAGTTAGGTTAGATTTTTAGTATGACGATCAGTGCAGTGCCAATTCCAGCCAATTGACAAAGTGCAAGTGTCGAAGCAGTTCCAGGAACGATGACTAAGACAAATGTCATGCAATTCATAGCTCACTGGCACGTGGTGCCATTATTTGATTATGCACGACGAGGTGATGTAACCGCCAAGATTCAAGAAGCCATGTGACAGCCGTACAGCCGAACAGCCGAACAGCCGAACAGCCTCTCATTCGCACTTACCCGGCCTGCAAATAGTGCAAATGTCTCACCTTGGCTAAGCCGAAACCGGATCGGACAGATCAGAATGTTCCAACAAACTAATTGAAATTAACTGCAAGCTTATCCGCTGATGTGGCGAATGTAATGAGTGTGCTTTGCTCTCCACCTCTCCAACCTCTTGCATTTGCACTCCTCCTGTGTACAACTGCAGTTGAATGCACTTTGCTGATTAATGCCTGGCCATATAAACCAATGACTGATAAGACAATCTTTATGCATCCACTCCACTCATCCAACAAAGCGTCCTGCCACTTGGCCTAACAGCGCTTTGTTGTGGTCAGGGCATCAGCGCAACACCCTGCAAAAGAATTGGGAAATTTGTATCGAAACATTAGTTCGACTCTCTCATAAGAATTTGTTCTATTTATACAATAACATTTTATCTCAATGCGCTGAAACCTCAACTCGTGAGATAAGTTCTTCCCCCCGAACTGTGAGCCACAGGCTGCGTCATTCATGGGCGTGCCAGAGCGGTGCCTTTGTAGTTGCTTTGTCAATCACTCAATCATCCACAGTGCGCCGTGTGGGTGAGTACAAATAACAGCTTGTTGGTTTTTCTTCATAATATGTTAGTTTTATTATAAATAACGCACGCTCTATGCGCATGGGTGCATACGTAGATATATGGGCTGGACTCTTAACTATTATTACATTCAGGGGTTTATTTCGGATGTCCCCTGGGTTTCTTCCAGTCCTAATCAAAATTGTAGCTGTATCTGTGGCAATGGCAACGGCCAGCTGAAGGACATACGACAGACCGCATGATCCTCCAGCTGGCCGTTGCAACCGGTGAACGGTTTTTAATTTTTTTCTACAATTTTGATTAATACTTGAAGTGCGCCTTATGTTAGGGTTTGTTCTTCTTAAGAAAAATATACACGCATCACATCCGTGAAGGGCTTCCGGCAGAGCGGGCACTTGGTCACGGACGAGGCGCACTTGGCGCAGGCCACCACGTGGCCGCAGGGTAAAAACGCCGTGTTGTACTCCGCGGCATAGCAGATCTTGCAGAGCTTCTCCTCGGGAATGACCGGCGAGCCGTTGGGCGCCGGTGCCGCACCTCCGGCCGTGCTGGGACTGGCTGTGGAGCTGCCATCCTTGTTGGCGGCTGCTGACACGATCTTCTCGTAGATGCGAGTGGCTGCTGATGGGGCCACATCGCCGGAAGGGGCCTCGACGGTCGCCGTCGCAGCTGTCGTTGAAGTTGTGGTGGAAGCTGCAGCTGGCGTCTCGGCTGCGGCTTTCTCGGCGACTAGCTCCGGCTTGGCAGCCACAGCGTCGATGTAGAGCTGTCCCTTCATCAGCTTGACGAAGCGGCACTGACTGAGCCAGAGTGCGTGCTGCTCCCAGGGCTCGTCGTTGTCGTCCCAGTCCTTGAGTCCGCCGCCGCAACTGAAGCAGCGGACGCGGTCGCCGACGCCCGTATAGAAGAAACCCGCCTCGGCGAGCTGTATTGGCTTCTGCTTCAGGTTGCGCGGCCACTCCTCGAAGCTGCGCAGGCGCTCCGACTCCAGGGCGTATGCGGGATACTCGGGAAAATAATTGCCGCTGGCAACGTGCCGACACGTCTCCGGCTGGACATCCCCGTTGGCCTGGGTGGCCGCCGTAGAGGTGGCAGTGGAGCCCATTAGCGGGGAGGCGACGGTATTCATGCCGGTGGACTGGGTAATGTGCGACATGGGTATGTTGCCCTCGGCATAGGCGCTCTCGCGCAGCTCCACCGTCGAATCGTTGGCGCCGCATATGTCGTAGCTGATGGGGGGCAGGATGCGTTCGAGGGCCTCGCTGTTCAGCGGCACATTGTTGGTTGTGCGACGGCGCAGGAGCGGACAGTTGGGCGACCAGCGCAGATGCTCAGGTACAGGTTGATCGTCGAGATCCCAGCGCCCGATCTCCACCTCGCAGAAATAGCACTTGACCTTATCTTCCTCGTTCGTATAGAACATGCCCGTTCGGGCCAACTGATTCTTGTCGAGCCACGCCAGCGGCCAGTTGGCGAAGGTTTTCAGGCGCGCCTCCTCCCTATTATACTCGTTCATGATACTATAGATGTTATTCTTGAACAGCTGCGTCTCATTCGTATTGTTGTCCACCTGGTCGAACACCGCTGTCAGTTCGTGTGCAGCATTCGGTCCAAACATGTGCCTCGGATTGGTTAAAACATTTGCCATTTTGGTCTCTTTTTGCTGTTACTCTTATCTACGCTGGATGGTTGTTGTTGTTGTTGTTGTTGTTGAAGCAGATCCTTTGTTTCTCCCTCAATTACTCCACTGTTCTGTGCTCGAAACTGTAATGAAAGAGGGTAGAAGAATCACGGTAAATATATATATTTTCTTGTACGTGGGTTGACGGTAGATAAGATAACAAAGCTGATAGAAGATAAGTGTGCGCCGCTCGGCGCCACTAAGATACTACATAAATTTCAACGATTGCAACTCTGACTTCTCCTGCCCAGCGGCTGGTTGTTTCTAGCAATTATTGTGACAAGTGGAAGGTGTTGAATGTGTATTCTATAAATGACATTTACTCCGAAGTATTTCCGTACAATAACAACTAAATGACGAATTTTCACAACAGTTTCTTCTAAAATATAAAAATGTATTTTTTTTGGCAACATTTCGCCATGTTATCTCCGAAAACAAACTAAAACCATTTCATATCAATTTTTATAGAGCTCAAAAACCAATCTATCAACCTTATCACTTGTTTAATTATACCTTTTCATTTAACAATCTCAGTGAAATGTTATTTATATTTTTGAGTATTTTTCCAGAAACTTTTTTTTTGCACACTCGACAGACAGAAAGAACTCTGGAGTCCGGGAGGCCGGCTTTGTGTGTATGTGGAAAACTGAAAAACTGTAAGCTGAAACGCAGTTCAAGAAACTGGAGATGGATGCAGCATCAACGAACCTTAAGAGCCCTTAAGGGCAGACGCAGGCCCTGGACGACACAGTAGTCGTCTCGCTTACACACACTGCTGGCACCGCTTAGCGCCATCCGCAGGGTGGTTTTCCCATTTGGGTAGGAAAAATCGCGACAAAAAAATACGTCGAAGCATGGAGTACGCAACATTACAACCGCCCGTGACAAGCACTGCGCCGAAGCGATCCCAGACGGACAGACGGACGGACTGAATGGGTGGGTGGGTTAACAGGGTGGCAGCAGTGGCGCCTAGAAGCTGCGCGAGACCACGCGCAGGGGCTGACTCACTCGAATCAAACTGCAATAAGTATAATTGTTGAAAACAAGTTGTTTACAAAGGCGGCACGGCACGGCACGGCATGGCACACACAGCTCGGCACTGCTGCATAGGCGGATATGCTAATCGAGCCGGGAGATAGCAGCCCACACAGATACCGACCCAGTACTGACTATCATGGTAATTATAGTAATAACAGGAAGACTACTGATGCTATCTTCAGATCTGCCAGCAAATACAGTGATGACTCTCTTAGGTAAACTAATCGTATTAATAAGGAAAACAATTCCATTGCGAATGGAAAAGTCGTAACCCCATACCATGGGATCGATCATTAACGGCAGCAAGAGGCTTGCTGCAAATTTCTTTAAACTGCAATGTTTGGTGGTCTTTAAAGAGATTGTAAAGCCGTTTTCGACATTTACACTCAACTCAGTACGAGTCTTCGCTTGGGGCATGGCACGAATGCGCTCCGTTCAAAGTCCAAATTTCAGCCACAAACCAGCCAAACCCGCCAAACAATTGTGCCTCGTGGGGCACCCAGGGGGTGGTGGCGGTGCTTGCTGGTGGTGCCATGCACTGCAGGCCTCTCCGACTGTGAGAAAGTTTTAATGGAATGCAGTCAAACCACTGTGGAGACGGCGCACTCTGCGGTAGAGTTGTGTGCAGTGGAGTGGGATGGGGCTGCATGGGGTTTGCCAGCATAAAGCGCAGCATAAGCCATGCAATGGTCGGGCCAGAGAGTGCAAGCGAGACAACACTTTGGTGTGCAGACGAAAGAAACCATCAATGGGAAAAACAACTAACAACGAGAACACACATACACACACAGACAAACACTAGAAGAGAGAGGCAGACAGTGGGAGAGCGCGAGAAGAGGGCGCAAAAACAAATGCAATTGTAAATGTACAAATGCTGACTTCTTGGGATCTCTGATGGGGAAATGAGGGAGCGGTGGAGAGAGCTGGAAGCTGGAGGCTACTGCTGGATCCAGAGATTGCACACAGCATTGTTCAAGTGGAGCAACAAAAGATGGAGAGCTTGAGATGCATTTGCTGCTGTCTCTGTCTCTGTTCAATTACAAACAGAGTATTTGCTAGGGCAGGCAGAGTGCGGTACAAAGTGCAGACCGTATTGCAATTACAGCTGCCTCTCGC